ACAAAATAACGAACGCTATATTATTTGACCTCTTCAAGACATTTTGGGACGGTGAGAATGGTTATAGCAATAAAATGGAGAAATAGTCACCACAATTTATTCTTGCTAAGTGCCATACAATAAAGTTGTTTTTGAAAATGTTTTTACTCAATATATACCTGAAAAGTACCATTTAAAAACTTGTAGTCTGATAATTAAAAAAAATAATGTTGTTAAAACTCTAGTTAGGAAATAGACCAAAACTACTAACACTAAAGCATTACATGCTTAAAAAATGAACTCTTGTATCTGTTCACTTTGTATCCATACACATCCATAAAACACACACCCACCCACCACACACAACGATATTATATATATATATATATATATATATAATATTGTTGTGTGTGGTGGGTGGGTGTGTGTTTTATGGATGTGTATGGATACAAATCGCAATGAGATGGGGGCACCCTATTAGAGTTGAAAAATAGTCTTATAGTTGTTACACACCGCCCTCTTTCTTCCCCACCCCTCATCTGACACTTCCTGTCCCATCACCAGTAGCAACACTGTCATTCTATCACATGTTGTTGCGGAGTCATAATCTTCATTATCATCTGAGAAAACTAATTTAAATCCATTTATACAGGTATGTCGTAACCCTTTATCCAATGTTTTACATCTTAAGACACCATTTTTCATATATTTTTATGTTTTAACTTCATGGGTGCTGTCTCTGGAATGCTGGACTATCTAGAGTACAGTAACCACAGATTTTATATTTAGATTTAACCTTCCCTCCATGATTTAACTTAGTCCATTTAATCATGATTTCTTTATGGTCGTTTAATGTATTTTAACATGAATAATGACAATATAATGGCAATAATGTTACTGTCATGTGAATGTATAATCGGTGCTTCACAGTGATGTTTTTGGTTTTATACTGATATGATTAGGAGTAAACGACTCTAAATAGGAGTTTTATATTTCTTTTGATACTAAATTGTTAACTTGTTTAATTGTATTCACATACAATTAAAAACCATGGAATTAGTTAATTGATTAAAGGAAACTAATCTCAGGCATTATATCATGTTATACACATGATTATGCCTGTTTGTTTAGTGAAGCATTCGCTGACCTTAAAGCTATTATTTCGTGTTCCTTAAAACTGGATTTATTATAAGCTTAATGTTGATAAAAAGCTTTAATACATTCGTTATTATTATCATTTTCAATGTTAAATATTGTAGAACATGTTTCTTATTAGAATTTAGATATAGGTCATATTTACCTTGACGTTTAATGGTACAGCTAATGTTGAAACTTTCACAAGCATTATCTTGGCAAATGATTAACAACTGTCAGAACAGAGGGTTATTGTATTGTAGTGTACTTGCGTTGCACTAAGATAAGTGATTAATTAGTCTGTATATTTAAGCTTTATGCACGATAGGTTTATTATTATTTAATACAGTTGATCATTGATTTAGAACATATCGCAAGATACCCTGTATTAACTGTTCAAGTACTCAACACGTTTTAGTATTTTAACATTAACATTTTTTAACGTGTCCGATTTATCATATTTGATACTTTAATTATGTTGCTTTAATAATTTGTTTTGATTCGATTACGATATGTTTAAACGTATCATCATATTGAGAACACTGTCATTCTATCACATGTTGTTGCCGAGTCATAATCTTCATATACCTGTATCATCTGAGAAAACTAATCAATAGTTTTCCCTTTAAATCCATTTATACAGATACAAGAATTAAAGTTTGCTATCAAAGTTTTACAAGTCAAGCGAAGTCTGTATTATTTTAGTGTGCAACAACGGATTTTTCAGTGGGATTGAGCACTGTTTCACAAAAAATTGAGATGAATAACCGTAATATATATATATATATATATATATATATATATATATATGTAATGTATATATATGTATATATGTAATGCTTGTCTCTACATATGAATGCAAGTTTTTATGAGATATTTTCGGCTTCATAAAAATTATCTTTTGACTTATTAAATTATTTTCTTTATTAAAAATACAAATCATTTGTACAAAAAGAGGCGTTGCCAATGTAATTTTGACTGCATTTGTAGAGTCTTTAATCAAATGTCGCTAAGCGTGCCGAACTTGTGACAATTATGAAAAGGAATTGGTCGATTGGAATTTACTATGCTGTACGTGTGACTATATTTTATATTTACATTTTTGTATACATGGCAGGTTATGTTTTTTCTGTTTTTGGCTTGTTAAGTTTACTACAAGCCCTCAACAAGTGACCAGTTGTGATGTCTTTGCGATCGTATCTGTCCCATAAGTTATACGTTCGCTGTCTTTGCCTAGATGATTTTCGCTGACGTCTTGTTAATCTTTCCAGACTTACCAATTTAACCTGTAAATTGACCAGCTTTGCCTCCTTATGAAGCAGATCGATTAGAATATAGAGGTTGGAATTAAGGCTTCCTCAGGTATTAATTCGGTTATGCCAGCCCTCTATGTCGTTGTTCTTGTTGCCATACCAAATACGTTCCAAGACGCAACTGGCCACAGGTCATTATATAACCATGTCTTCTCCATGTATCTAACTAGAGGGACAAGTGGAGAAGTTGCTTTACCGGCGATCTCCTGAAAGGTGGTGGTAATATATTCAGATGGCGAGAGCGGTAGTGCCATGAGCTCTCTAATATAAGTGTGCACTGCAGGTGAGTTTAGTGTATGCCCATTTGAGATCATTGTCTATGACATGCCTATACACAGCCTGAGTCCAATGAAACACACAACCATGCATGGAAATGCCGGGAAATACATCTTTAAAAGCACTCCACATACCAGACACCTGCCGAACTAAATATGAACGCTCTGGCAAGGTGGCAGGAAAGACGTCATCATTCGAAACAATGTGATCCAGTTCGGTATCGACGATTTCTGAAGCTGGAATGAATTTATTTTCATCTGCCTTGGTCAATTAACATTTGTAGTTACTCTAATTTTGAGTCTTTGCCTGGTTCAGTCGGATGATTGTGAGGTTGCCTTTGGTTGAAACTTTCACCGATCTGCGCCACTTTAGCGTGACGACATTGACCTTTTCGATGGACACTACGTGTCCGTGTTACTGTAGAAGAATTACATCTTTTTCTGGCTTTCTATTGTAGCTGTTGCCAGGATTATCTACTAGCAATGACCCACCACTTTTAGAAGCATTTCTGATGATTTTATAATGTATTTCACCGTCATATTCTGGCAATTATTTACTTGGCAGAGATACACTCTCCAACTGTTCCTCTTTGGCTTGGGTTGGTTTTTCGTCAGGCGACAGTATGTCAAAGTTTTCATACACACCTTGAATATCCTTTTTTCCTCCTGATACGTTGTCAAGGGGATTAGTTCTATTTTGGTCTTTAGAATGAAGAGATATGTTTGAAAATTCAGTGATACATTCAATCAATCAATTAGACCGTGGGTTGAGGCTCCAAAATCGGCTTAGTTTACGAATTCTG